TTTGAAAATCAGGGTAAATTTGCACAGGAGGTCCCGTAGCACCTTCTCTATTCTTCTAGATCTGTCAAAGATCATTCACAGCAGCTCTGCAATGACATTTGTCAGTCTGTTCATTGTTCCTAATTCATTCAGGATAGTTATAGGCTGTTCTATCTTTTTCTCATTTACCTTGGGCTTTTATGCTCTGACCCCCTTATTTTTCCTTCTGTCCTTCCCAGTTCAGAGAAAGATCATTGTCCTTGGAATGATGTCCTTAGAAGAGAAAACAAAAGTAAAATAGTAATTGATCACTTCAGCCTTTTCACTGTTGTCTGTTAGCTCATCCCCCCAGAACAGTAGTTCTTTAACCTCTTTCTTGCCCAATATAGTTAATCCAGCTTTTTGTTGTTTTTATTATTCTGTCCAAATCTCAGTTCTTGAGACTTTTAGCACTCCTGACATATGATAGGACAGTGCCACACAATTTGTATTCATTCATTCTTTATTATTTGCTTCCATCTTTTATACATTTGACTTCCATCTTCTATAAATTTGAATTGAGTTTCTCTCTTCAGTTCCATCATTCTCTTTATGTAGCTCCCTTTTTCTTTCTCATTAGAATCATTTCTACTTGGGTCTTTAGAATTTTACCCTTGTGTACTTTCTATCCCTTCTGGATTGAAAGTATTCCTTGTATAATTTTAACCCATGAGATTCTACTGATCTTTTCCTCTGAACTCTTTGAAATTTACTCCTCTCAAATCTAGAGACTATGACCTGGCTTTCCTTTCCTCTATCACAAATTGTGATCACAAATCACTAAGCTGCCATTTGCCCCCAAAGCTCTCATTATTACATTGCTGCATCAGCTAGCAATTCCTTCTTGTTAATACTTCTACTTGTCATTTCCTAAACTTTTTAAAATAAAAGAATGAAATGGTCATTAGGGCAAGTCACACATTTATCAGTTGCTTTACTCTTAGAAGGAAGTGTCAGCTGATGTCCAAATAGTTGAAATACCCCATCTGTTTTTTGATCCATTTATCATACTCCTTATCTAATTCTTCTATCTATCCCAGTGGTCTGTAATCTACTCACTTTTTTTGATAAACATTTTCTTCTTCTGATCTTCACTCAAATTCTTCTCCCTTTGGTTTCTGTTTCTTCACATGAATAGACCATCTTAATATGAAATGCTTTACCATCTCTTCTTGTTCATCTTGAGTGTGAAATTATTTCAGATCATCCTACCAAGTCTTTATATATAGATAAAGTTAAATTTGCCACGTCCTGTCATTTCTCTTGTTTTATTACCCACATTCTGTGCATTTGAAAAAAGACATCTGAAACCAGGGATTTTACTGTAGGTGCTCTACTTTTCTGGTCTCCCCTAGGGTCTCTCTGTTAGTCATTGCTGGCAAGCTTCTTGCCAGAGTCCTTAATAAGCTGATCCTTCACTGGGAAGATGGTCATCTGCCCGAGAGCCAGTGTGGCTTCAGAAAGAGTCAAGGCACAATGACTGGTGTTGTTGCTGCTCAACAACAGAGGGCTGTACATAATGTTCATCGATCTAGTGAAGGCTGACACTGTCATTCATGAGGGTTTGTGGAAAATCATGGCAAAATTTGGTCACCCACAGAAGTTCATCAGTGTTGTCCATCAGTTTCATGACTGCGTGGGTCCTGGATAATGGACCATACTCTTGCGCTTTTCCAGTCACCAGTGAAGTAAAGCAGGGCTGTGTGTTTGCTCCTGTGCTTTTTAGCATGATGTTTTTAGCAATGTTGTTCAGTGAGGATGAAAACATTATTAAGGTCAGATACTACGCTGACAGAAAATTATTATTTAACTTGAAAAGGCTACAAGCCCAGACTAAAATGGAGGAAGAGTTGGCATGTGACTTTTTGTTTACAGATGATTGTGCACTCAATGCAGCATCTGAAGCTAATATGTAACAAAGTGTAGATCCATTCTCTGCTGCTGGTACTAATTTTGACCTGATAATTAACACCAAGAAAACAGGTTCTTTACCACACCATCCATACATGGAACTACTGGTTATAGCAAAATGGGAAATTTTGAATGCTGTGGATAAGTTCAATTACCTTGCCAGTGTACTTTCCAGGGATATACACATTGATGAGGTTGGCGCACTCATTGCCAGAGCTAGCTCACCATTTGGGAGACTCTGAAAGTGTGGGAGAGAAGAGGTATTAAGATTGCCTACAAGACTTAAGGTCTAGAGACCTTGTGCTGCTTTATGCCTGTGGAACCTGGACAGTATACTAGTACCATGCCAGGAAATGGAATTGTTTCCATTTGAATTGTCTTAAGAAGATTCTGAAGATCACCTGGCAAGATAGGGTACTGGACACTGGGGTCTTTTTTTTTGAGCTAAACTGCCAAACATTCACACTCTCTGCAAGGAGGGCAACTCTGATGGGCTGGCCATGTTGTTCAAATGCCAAATGTAGATTTTTCTAAAGATTATTTTACGGAGAACTCACATGAGGCATCACTCATGTGTAAGTCAGAAAGGATACAAGCACACTCTCAAGGTCTCTCTGAAGAACTTTGGAATTGATTGTGAAACATGAGAGACACTGGCACAGGACCCCCCAGTATGGTGTGCCTGCATCAAAGAAGGCCCTGTACTCTGAGCGAAGTAGGATTGTAGTAGCTCAAAAGAAATGTGAGATTTGCAAATTTAGAGACATGTCCACTCCAAATGTTCACGTGGACTATTTGTGTCTGACTTGGGGTAGTCTTCCAAGCTCGTATAGTTCTGATCAGCCATAGTTGGTTACGCTGTACCTTGACCCCAACATAGTGATGTCATTTTGGTCTTCTTTGAGAAGGAAAGACAACAACCGAATCAAATCTCCCCTAAGTTCCTGGTTCTCCTGTGTTGCAACTGGCTTGTCAGATCTACTCAGTTCTCCTCCTTGCTCTCTCTTCAGTTTCAAGCCATTGTTAACAGACTCTAGGAAGAGGTTTTTTTTAACCAGCATTGTAAAGTGCGCTCCATTGTAGATCATAAGCCTCTCATGCCTATATTTTAAGCTGTGGGCCATACTAGAAATTCAAATCCTGCGCTCAATCACTATCTTCCTAAGTAGCTGTTCATGTTTCCAAATCCGTCTCTGTCAATTGGCAGCAATTGTGAAAATACTCCCTGGGCCCTTTTGGCCTTCAGATTTTTGGCCAGGGTTTTGTAGCCCTGAGCAATGATTTCAGGGTTCCTTTTGGAAGCATCTTTTCCCCCACATGAATTGTCAGTAGTGGTACTCAGACTTGTTAAGTCTCAGAATACTCTATCACACTCTGGATAATACCTACCTGGAATGACAGCAGACATGTTTGTCAGTTTAAAAAAGTGTTACATTGGTGCCCCCACAGCATGGAATCATCAAACTCTTTGGCTTATCTTTTCTTATGTTGATCACTTTTGGATGATTTCTTATCTGAAGGTACTTGTAAAATTGCATCATTTCTTGGAGTATAAGATACTGTTTCTACGAGAGATTATCCAGCTATCTTGAAATGCAGGAACTTAATTCTTAACTCTAAATGTTCAGTGGTCCTCCCTCTCTTCTTTCTAGGCCATACTCTTCCACCTTTCATTGTGATAGAGGTGAAGATTCCTGTCTACCTCTTTATGTAATTGTTAGTTTCTTTCCTCCTCAGAGCACTTCTACCATTATTTCATGAAACACTTCACTCAACTTAGAGAACAGAAATGTATTCCCTAAGTCCACTCACTTTCTTCTGTAGGAAAGTAACAGAGGTTCCTTGGTAGAGATGGAAACCAATAGCATCTTTTCTGCTACTGCAAATTTCTTCTTGCTTTTTACACTTGGTTTTGGTGGTCTCTAGTCCTTTGTCATTTTGGAGATATTACTCTAGAGTGGCAGACTACCTATTTGCTAATTCTGTTAACTGTTCTGAAAGTTATGTTGCTGTGGGCTACTGAGTAAAGCTAGGTGGCATAGTGGATGGAGCACTGGGCCTGAAATCAGGAAGACCTGAGTTCAAATCAGATTATTTACTGTGTGACCCTGGGCATGTCACTTAAACCTAAAGCCTCAGTTTCCTCAATTGTAAAATGGGGATAATAACACCACCTATCTCCCAGGGTGGTTGTGAGGATCTAATGAGATAACTTTAAGGCACTTAGAGCAGTGCCTGGCTCATAGTAAGCACTATGTAAATGCTAGCTATTATTTTTTATTTTTTGGCTAGGTAATGGGGAGTTAAGTGATTTGCCCAGGGTCACACAGTTATTAAGTGTCACACGTCTGAGGCTGGATTTGAACTCAGGTCCTCCTGACTCCAGGGCCAGTGCTCTCTCCACTGTGCTACCTAGCTGCCCCATATTATCGTTGTTAAAAGATTCATGGTAATCACTGGGGAACAAAGTAGAATTTTTTAATACAATCTGAGATCTATTTCAGTGACTTCTTTATTCAATTATTTCTTTATATAAAATTTGAAGCCATTTATGACTAATTCTTATAGCTGTATAAAAGTTTCTGTAGGTTACATACTTTATTACATGAAGATCTAATTACTTGACATGGATTTGTTCCTGAGTTATGACAATGAAACAATGAATGGAGGCAGGAACTCTTCCCACAAGTCTTGGTTAAGTCCTAGTGAATGTGGGTGCAGTTCTCAACGGATCCACTGCCCAGTGTTTTTTCTGTCAAGTGTTTTGTCTGACCCTAGACTATGGGCTGGGTTCAGAAGGGTGGAACCATTTCTGAATAAGAGGCAAGGGATCTTGGGGCTATCGGAAGTTTTCTTTGTTCCAGACAAAATAACAAATAAGGATTTAGTATGCTAGTCATTTCTTATAGCCACAAGGTATTTATTTTTTGGTGAGACAGTTGGGGTTAAGTGACTTGCCCAGGGTCACACAGCTAGTAAGTGTGAAGTGTCTGAGGCCGGGCCGCAAGATATTTAAGTTATGTCCAGTGTGCCAGCCAAAGATGAGCCATTTGTAAACTGGAAAATCCTTTTATTCTATATAAACACTGATTTACTGAACAAATATTAAATGCTTACTGAGTGAAGAGTTAGACATTGGGGGAGATACTAAATTTAGATGAGGCGTGGTTTCTGCCCTCATGGAGCTTACAGCTTACTTGGGAAGATAATACACACACACAACTAGAATATACATTATACAATAGGTATATTAGAGAATTACAAAACAATGTATTATGTGAAATCCAAGGAGGAAGATCTCTACCAACAGGGAAAGTTTTAGGGAGGAGGGGGTATTTCAGTTGCACTTACAGAAATCTAGCAGTCTTCTTCCTTGGACTCCCTGTGTAGCAAGTAGCTCTCCCTAAAGGATGGGGAGAGGGACCGCCCATCTCCCTCCCTCACACCCCCGAAGAAATGGCTGCCCTGAGCACATGGAAGCTAAGTCTCATGTCCTGCTTAGGCAGGCCTGATTTGGGCCTTTGAGATGCCACCTCTGTTTGATCTTTCCTAAACTGAGTGAAGAAATACCAGGTTTGAAGAGCCACTATGTGAGTTTGAGAGGTCTGGTGGTCCTGGGTTATTTGGCTAGGGCTGACTGGCAAGGGGAGAATTCCCCATCAACTCTTTCAGTACTCTCGAAGATGACCATCAGCTGGAGGATAAGGCCAGTCCTTGGTCTGGCTTGCCTGAAGACTAAGAGACAGGGCAGAGCTGAAGTAAAAGGTAAAATGCTTATTGATCAGCAGTCCCACAAACTGCTTCATGATTATGTTGTTTTAAACGTCAGCTTTCTGGCAGAGTTTAAGAGAAATTACTGCTGTTTTCATTTAAGTCTTTTTTCCAATGTGCGGTCATGGCTGTTCTGTGTTAAACATTCTTCTATGTGTAGGCAATATCTGTTCTGTACCTGAATCAAAAAAGAAAAAATTTCAAAAGCTATGGGGGGCGGGGGGGAAGAAGGCAGACAAGAAGGCAAGGGAACATGGCTTATTTAAGGGGTTAGGAAATGAGCACCATTTACTGTGTAGTGTACTGTGGAACAGGAGCAGCAGGAAAAGATAGAAAGACAGCATGGCATGGGACTGAGCAGGGCTCAGTGTGAGGGAAAGGAGTTTGAACTTTATGTGGTGAGTAGTAGGGAGACCCAGAGTGAGACCCAGCAGAGGAGAGGCATGGCCAGGTGGGTGTGGATGGATGAGTCTAGAAGCAGCAGCAGGAGCACACTTCACGGTGAGGAGAAAACAGAGGTAGAGTTTACTGCATCTGTGTAGTGGGGCAGTGATGAAGGCCTGTACTGGGATACAGACAGGATTAGAGGAGATGTGAGGTCATAGTTTTAGAGTTGGAGGGATGTTAGGGCTCATTTAGTACCATCCTCTCCATTTACAGATATAAGGCACCAAGAAGTAAGGTGGCTCAAATCAAAGTCTCATTGCTATGAAGTGGCAGAGTAGGGCCTTGATCCCAGGGCATCTGATTACAAATTCAGTGCTCTTCTCATTGCTGAGGTAGAACTGACAAGACCTGGTAAATGATGGGAGGAGAGGTGAGGGAGAGGGAGCATTAAAGAGAGATCTGTAAAGAGGTGATTGGAGAGGCATGGCTTTGCGTAACATTGCCAAGATACACAGCGGAAAGAGAGAACAACACTTACATTAAGGAATGAGAAGCGAAGATGGTATCAAATGAAATAAACCCATACTTTTTACCTTCTTGCTTCAACTGAGGCAGCTGGGGAACACAGAGCAGAAAACACTGGACTTGCCAGGAGTCCTTAAACCTGTTCTCTCATCTGTAAAATGGGAATTATAGCACCAACCCTCCCAGGGTTGTTGTGACCATCAGATGAGATAACAGATGTACAGTACTATAGATATGCTAGCCACTATTAATTCTTTTGCTTTTTTTGGTAATTATTAGATCAAAAGGATACATTTTAAAAAAGCAGAGTCTGATTAGTTCTAATGGTCACTCCTCCTATGATCCTTTACAGGTCCTTCTTGCCTGGTTTCTGGGTTCAGTCCCTGTCTTGTTTATCTTTTAGAATCTAGGGAGATCCTGTGAGGTTCGGGTACTTTATTCATACTACTTTGATTTTTTTAATCAGGAGTGTGTATGAGTTTTTTAATCATTCCAGGTTTTTTTTCCCCCTTACTTAGAGCTCTAACCAGGAGGTTTTAAAAAAAACAAACTTGAGAAGTGAGCAGCTCTCTCTTACTTGCTGATCTTAGAACTACTGCACCATTTGGGCACCTATATATCCCAGACCTCTCCTGAGCTTTAGTTGCCCTACTTCCAACAATATACTGGACATCTCCACCTAGGTGTCCCCAGAACAACCTCAAACTCGTGATCTTCCCTCCTAAACCAAACCCTTCTCGTAATTCCCAATTTTGTGGGCACACCACCATTCTTTAGTCCCCCAGGCTTGAGACTTAAATGCTATCTTCAACCTTATTTCATCTCCATCCCCTTATCTGCACTGACACCACAACCACCCGATTTTAGGCCCATACCACCTCCCACCTGTACTATTTTAATAGCTTTTTAATTGGTCTCCCCGCATCCCCTTTTCCAGTCCAGCTACCATACTGATATTCACATCTGACTTTCCAGCTAAGCTGGTCTGCTTATTTTCTGTGCATCAATGTCCATCTCCTGTCTTTCTGCCTCTGCACAGACTGTCCCTTCTCACTTCCACCTATTCAAACTCCTAGCTTCCTTCAAGGGCCACCTCCAGTGAGAAGCTTCTTCTGATTCTTCCTTCACATCTCCCCCCCCCCCCAATACTTTCTATTTATTTTGAATACCTCTTACATTTACTGAGATGCAGACATGCTGCTGTAGGTCCTCAGGACAATGTCAGCTCCTTAAGAGTAAAGATCGTCTCATGTTTGTATTCTCAGCATCAGCACAGAGCCAGCGCTCAGCACTCAGCAGGTGCTCATTGAATCATGGAATTTAAACATTTAGCACTTACTGGCAGGTAATCCCTTTCAAGATGTAAATTCACTTTGGGTCTGAGCCATCCTCATGATCCTACTAGGAGCTTTTCTGCAAGTTGGAACCTTGCAGACTAACTCCATGTGACCTGGGTGGGGTTAGGGTGGGGGCAACCAAGATTCCTCAGGCTGTGACCAGCCAAGGATCTCAGCACTTGCCAGTGGGACAGTCATGACTCAAACTCGTCCAAAGTCCATGAGTCTGAATTTGTGCTGGTATCAAGTTTTATATGATGGTGAGCATATGGTAGGATCTTAACAGATAATGAGATGAATTAAGTGGTGAGCTCTACAAAAAGTACTGACAATTTGAACTTTTTTGATTGACATGTGAATGATTTGTTTTTATACTTAGAATAGCTTTAAGAGAAAAGTCAACTCTTTAATAAATTTGTGATCATTTTCTAGGATTGCTTTCAGCAAAGCTATAATAATTTCCTAATAGTTACCTTACTTTTGATAGTCTATCACAGTAGAAATTTGATGCAGTTTTGTTATTTTGACTTGCAGAAGGGCTTGCAAGAAAACAAGCAACTATTAGGTCAGGTTTAGTGAGGATAAACAACTGAAGTTAATTAATTTTATTTAAACCCTCAAAACTGGTCTCCCACCATGTTACCTTCAGGGTCCTCAGTAATCCTTATTTAAATCACTGTCATTCTTAAATTTTCTTCAGGGGGCAGTAGATTGTTTAAAGATTGTCAACAAAGTCACACAGTTGATTGCCACCAAGGTAAAGTGGTTATCCTGCAAAAGAGGATGTACAACTCACAAACTCACTGAAAACAGCTTTTCAGTATTTCCATGTAAATGAGGAGTAAAGGATGCTTCATAATTGGGGCTTGTTTTTGAGCTCTGACATGCGTCACTGTACTTTCTTAGTTGTATTTAGTCTCTTGTCACTTTGAGTGTCTTACTATCATATGTGTTCTGCTGTGCATCTAGCTGGGTACTTCAGTATTTTAGGAGCAAATCTGTCATTGCATCTGTTGCATGATTTCACCAGCCCCATCACTGAAATTCTTCACAGCTTATAATATCATACATACAAGTGCTTAAGAAAGCCCTGCTGTGCCTGGAACTCTGGGATACAAAGATGAAAATGAAACAGTCCATGCCCTTGAAAAGGCCTCAAACCTACAACTCATTTCAGTCTTTCCTCAGGCTGTGGTTTGTGTGCATCAGGAAAGCTAAGATGCGTCAAAATTTCTTTTCTGTTACTGGCTCACAGTGGGACTTTAGCCAAATGATTCATCTAGTTCATTGTAATTAACTACAGCTTTAAAAACTGAAGCTCAGAGCCATAACCATTTATATGGGATCAGTCCACACATGAAAAGATACATGACATTTAAAAAGGTATACCAGAAAAATTTTTTTTTGGTGTTGAAAGGATGGTTATATTAAAATCAGTCAAAAGTAAGATTAGTTGTAACCTAGTGGAGGGAACAGGGAAAGATGATGAAGTGCTAAGATGATGCGCTTTAAACACCTCAATTTTACCATGAACAAAGACAATCTTAATTCAAGGCTTCTTTTTCTCCACAGAAGGTCCAGCTATCAACTAGTAACATAGGTCACAACCAGATTTCAACCTTCTTAACATCTAAATTTCTATTAATCCTTGCACAATTTATGTAACTATAATGATGCTTTAATTTAAAGGTTATGATGGAACTTTTTGTATACAGAGAAATGGAACAGCAATTTAAGCCCAGCTGATAGGATTTTTTTTATGCAGACATTAATGGTGGCACTAAACATCACTGTTTTAAATATATACATAATATACATTTTACATATATATATCTACATATACATATATTTAGTATTGTTATCTGCAAGAAAAAAAAACATGGAAAAGTCTGAATTGCACACACATAGCTTACTTGCTTTCAGAAACAATGTCTAGAAAGCAGCAGTGTTTCAAGTCCTTTCAGATTAAATATATTGTTTTTGATTTCCACAAAGCTGAAGGCCATGGCTACTGGTGCTTTAATATTATTTCTTACTAAAAATATGCTACTGCCATAATCCTTCCCCAGTTAAAGGTCATGAGTAGTGTTCACAATTTTAAAGGACATATGCTGCTGAAGACACTTGAAAGCATTGGTAAGCAGGAAAATCATTAACTATTCTCACAAAACACAGGCTTCCAAAACCAGTCCCTTATGATACTATTAAAAAAAACATTGTCCAAATTGTTTTATTTTACATAAACAAGTCCTTTTTATTTGCCCCTTTCTCAAAATGTATACAGAAAGCAAAGTTACCATGTAATTAGCTCTTCACTTCTGCCAAGTATTATTTTTTCCTAGAAATTTTTCAAGAAGTTCATGAGTCTTTAAACATTAGATTTCAATATTCATCATCTTCATCAGAATCCATTACTTTTCTTCTGTTGAACTGGAGAGGAAAATATAAGAGTATGTTACAATGTGTCTGAACTGAAATTAAGGCTCTGAGAAGCAAGAAAAATGTTTTAGTTAACTTGATAGCAAAAAGTTTGATTCTTCCCTATTACTACTTAGTTAATTAGTTGTCTGCAGTAAGCTACTACTGGCAGGCAAGATGAAGACATCTGTGAATATTTTAAATAAAGAGTTTTGGTCCTTTTGGTGTGTTAGCTGACTGATCCAAGAATTATACAGGATATTTACAGAGGGAAAAAAATTTAATGAAAACTTCTATTAAATGTGTTCAAACTAGCATTGTTGTTTTTACTATGATACTTCAAAACTTAAGTGTAAAAATACCTTCCGCCAAAATTAAGTCATAATTCTACATTTCACGAGTTGTTACTGCCAACCTTCCCATGATGAGTCTCCCTGCACTTAGCTTAGCTGCTCCTCAGGCAAAAAAGTCACAGTTCTGTCATCTGGCTGGTAAGCCACCTTATGCTTTGTCTTTGAGGAATCACCCCAAAGCCTCATTGTGGTGTGAAGACTTTAGTGAAAAGGGTTTGATATATGAGCAGCATTAGTCTTAGTAAAGAGATTTTTTTTTTTGGAAGCTTACTTTTACAATATTCAGGTTACTTCAAGAAAACTTACCTTAACTGTTATTTTCTTTTCTGTTTGCTGGCTTACTTTTTCAAGAATTTCTATCAATCCTTGCTCTGATACCTAGGATAAAAGAAGTAGAATAAAAGTGACTATTTATTTCTCCTTTATACATGCAGTTTAAGGGCTGAATATATTTTTCAAGATTATTAAACCAAAAGATACACATCTCAATAATGATACAGACACTCTAAAATCTTTTGAGTCTCATTCCTGAATTGGGAAATGGAGGCATAACTGAAGTCAAGACCCAGGCACGTCTACTGCCAGTGAAGAGTGTCTTAAGAGGTGAAAAGCCGTATCAACGTGCTTAGCTTACAGGAAGAAGTAAAAGACAGACTTACGAGTGACCAATGGCCCAGTGAAATAACCATTCTGGGTAAGAGTTTTTATTCTATTTTACCCATGAAGGTTTCAACAAAAAACCTTTCTAGACTTCTGCCTAATATTAGTTATCTTTCCTCTATTAATGATATCCAATTTATCATGTATATACCTTGCTGCATGTTACATAACCCCGTCCATTAGACTGTAAGCCTTGAGAGCAGGGACTGCTTTTTGTCTTTCTCAGTGCTTCACACAGTGATTGGCACATAGTAGATAGTTAAGAAATACTTTCTGACTGCCTAATCCTTTATAGTTTACCTATGGAAGTAAGAGCATTCAGGAACCATGTTTCTCTTCTTTATTGTTTACCTTTTAGTTACTGTTCTGGGCAATTAACTAGGCAACCCCCTATGACCCATTAACACAGATAATTAAAAAAAAACCCTGTGATCTCACAAGTCAAAGATATTATACAACAATATCAGATAACACCTAGGAATTTCAGGCAGGCCAAGTAGTTACATTTTAAGAAGGAAGAGGTAGCCGATGAGATTTCTCCTGCCTTTCTTTTGCAAATTCCTGGTAAAATACTCTTCTATGGTCTGATGTGGCAGAGATTTAACTTGGAAGAATATGCTTCACTGACAGAGAGGGAGGCCAAGGACTCACCTTTCCACTCAGTTGCCCATATCTTGCCATCTGTATGAGGTAGTTCTCTACTGCTTTGGCCTTTTCTGGCTTTACAAGTGCTAAATTACTTACTGAGATAAAAACAAACAAAAGACATGACATATAAATACATAGATATTTTTATATATATATGTATATACATACATACACACATCCACACACTCACACACATATATACTGTATAACCAATCTCTGAGGTATCAACACTAAACAAATACCAGGAGCTGTCATATCACTTTATATACCAAGTAAATGCCAAAATTTATCATCCTCATCATAAATTCCATGTAAATAAAACATTTCTTCCTTATCATTCACTACTTATGAGCTACAGGGTTGTCTTACTGTACTTTTAAACAAAACACTTTTTTCTTTTTTGGCTAAAGGAAACACTGGGTTAGTGATACACACAAAACCCTCTCCAACTATCACTTTTGGCCCAAATTAGGCTTCAGGTAATAATGTTCCAAGATACAGTTTTACTTGATTGCTATGATTTAAGAGGTAATAACTCGTTTTATACTTTACTCAATATGTACCTAAGCCTGAAAACCTTATCTCCTGCAAGCAGAAGAAACAGCTGGTACTCTCTCTCTCTTAAAACCAATTTAAGTACCTAGTACTAAGTCTGACTTCACATTCTTCTAAGTAATAGTCCATTTCAAATGTATTTAAGATTAAATAAACATTTAACCTAGAGATAGCAATAGTAATTTCATTACCAGTAGAGATGCCCTTTGTTAGGTAACTTAAAACCAATATTATTTCAACAGAGAAATTTCATTTAAGGAAATCGAAGATGCTTACACCTGGCCCGTGCTGACTGATCCAGAACTTGAGCTAGAATATTGTTTCTCATCTCTGCTTCCCTGTAAAGAAAGACTAATTAGACAAAGCAGAGATGCAAGGGGAAAAGCATTCTAGGTGAAAGGAAAGGTATAAGTAAAGGCACAGCAGTAAGAAAATGATATATTTGGGAAAACACAAGAACATAGTGAGGCTGAAAAGGTACTTTGAACCCAGATGGGAGAAGACCTCAAACGTCAGGAATCTGGACCTGAATTAGTAAAGTAGCCAATGAAATGAATAAGGCAGTATTGTCCATTCTCGATGCCTTCCCCACCCCCCTCCACTCCCACCCATTGACCCAGGAAATAATGTAAGTTTGAGAGCTATAACTAGTTCCCTTTTTGCTCAGGGCCTTGTAAATAAATAGTAGTTGTTTAATAAATATTTACTGAATTAAATTAAGGGGGTACCATGAAGACCAGGGAGACCAATAATCTTTTGTCTAAGTGAGAGGTAATAGGGGTCTGAATTAGGCTATGAGAACGGAGAGGAGAATGCAAAAGATGTTGCAGAAATGAAATTGATAAAGATTTGCTGAATATGGGTGTGAGAATCTACGGAGGGACAAACAACACATACCAAATAAATAGAAAAGAATTTACAAAGTAAGATAAATAAGTATTCGATATAAAGGTCAAAACTAAAGAGTGAGGAAAAACTTAATCACATAAAACAAGATTTGAGGGAATTTCTGCTTAACCTCAAAAAGAAAAAGCAGCCTCTTCCTTTAAAAAAAAAAAAAAGTCTGATGCTGATTACGATTTCCCTTACTTACAGTTTCCTGAAATTTAGCAGCAGATAAAGTTATCAACATATGCTTTAGCAGCCTCATTTCACATAATGGCTTTTCTGCCCATCCCTTATCTTTTACCCAGATTTAGAATTAAGCATATAAATTAACTAAGGAAAAGGAAACAGATATATAGTAGAGATGGACTTTATAGCTAAAATAATTTCCAAGAATGACAGGAATATCTGCTCAAGACTAGCTAAATAACATTATTTTGAAAATTCCATCACTTAGGTCACGTTCAAAATTTTACACAGCTGTTCTCTATATACCTTAGGGATTTTTGCTGAGAAGCTTGGCATCTTGGGTTAGAAAAATCACATCAATTGTGAGATGATTTTTATGTGTGATTTGTAATGACAGTCAATTAGATAAGGTAGCTAAAGTATTACTTTCAGTTTGTTCCTTCTTTCACAGCCACTGTTGTTCCTTAATCATCCATAAACTTTGAGGTTTATACTACATTCAGGAAGGTGGGAAAATTTCTATGGAGCTTGGTACAGTTTCTAGAGTGGGAATTAAATGAATCATAGAACAGCTAGAAGAGACCTTTAGATAATCAGATTTAACAACGTGCAGAGAAGTAAACTAACTTTCCAGTACAACAGGACTGTGTAGTAGTAGACCCAAGACTAGAACCCTAATCTCCTGATTCTCAATTCAGTGTTCTATTCACATTATGTTTTCCTTTAGTTGGTAAAATATTAAATGATCTAAGAAATCAGGGCTTGGAGAACAGTTGCTGGCACTGCTTCTTTCTAACTCCTGTAGAAAAGTATAAGCCATTCCCCCAAACACCATGTAAATCATTCCTTTTTCCTCCCCACTGATATGAAGTGATATTAGTTAAAAGCAAGGAAACTGGGAACAGCTAGTTATTTCACTTGAGAGAAAACAAAGGCTTAATAAAAGGAAGTACCAAGAAAACTCCTGAAATTGGTAGACAGATTTTATATATACACATATATATACACACACATATATGTGTGTATATATCTGTATACACATATATGTATATATACATATACACACGTTAGAATTTCAAAATTTCGTGTATATATGTGCACACACATATGTGTATATATGTATACATATATGTATACATATATGTACACACATGTTATATTTTCAAAATTTCATTTCCGCTAACTAAAGGAAAAATCCCAGCTCACTAAAAGTTCATAGCTCTTGGTCATACCTGTGTTTTGCCTCCTGTTGTGCTGGGTCACCAGAAGAGTCCTGCAAAGACATTTCTCTTTACAATCAAAGGATTCAGAGCTATAAAGATGAATTAAAAGGCAGTCTGGCATGGGGGGTAGAATGCTGGACTTAAGAGTGAGGAAAGCCTCAAGTCCTGTTCTGGCTACGTGGATACGGACAAGTTACTTAACCTCTCAGTGCCCTAAACCAGAGATGTCCAACTCCTCAGTGGTCCTGAATCAGATTAAAATGTAATTGAGAAATATTTAACATATTAAATAAAAATACAATTTTTCTAAGTCACTATGCAGCCTACAGGAATCCATTTCTATTTGAGTTTGACACCACAATCCTAAGCAACCCTTTAGGACAGTGCTTTCCAATGGCTGCCTCTTCAAGGCAGTTTGGTATAGTGGATAACACCTTGGATGAGAAGTCTGAAAGACATAGGTTTGAATCCTGTCTCAGACACTTACCAGCTGTGTGACCCAGGGTAAGTCACTTAATCTCTCTTGGTTTCAACTTCCCCAACTAAGAAATGAGGGGATTGGATTAACTGGCCTTTAAAGTTAGGGTCCTATGAACCACTACATTTTATTTCTGACATAGCTCTGAAACAGTTTTCCAAATGGTTTACAAGGCAAGCATTTTAAAACTCAAACAAAAAGAATGCTTGGCTACCATTTATTGTAGCCAATTTTGCCATTTGATTTCCTCTCAGTCATTAGACCATCACAATAATTACACTCTTCATATACAATCATAAAATCCTACTTTTGCTATTAAAAAGGTGGGATACTAATGCGTTGTAGCCTTTCCTGCCAAACTCCACAAAATATCCAAAAACCTTATTATTGGTTTGACAAAAAACTTTTGGCCTCAGAAAGCTCAGGAAAAAAAAAATAGGAATATATCTTAAATTGTATACCACTAAGAAATAATTACTGTGGAGAACTGTCTTTGCAAAGCAATCAATAATGTTCAAAAAAATTGAAAGACCACAAATTTACAGCTGGAACCTGAGGCCATATAATCCAACCCTCTCACTTTACAGACAAAGAAACTGAGGCCTAAAAAGGTAAAGTGACTTACCCAAGGTCACAGGGGCAGTATCAGAAGCAAATGTGAATGGAGTTTGATTCCATATCCTGTGCCCTTATATTTTTATTTTTTAAACTGGGCTGGAAACAAGACAGCCTGGTACTTTCCCCCTCCATCATATTGATGCCTGGCTTAGTGTGGACACCGGACAGCTTTGGACATTGTTGCTCACAACCACCGAATTCAAGTGATTCACCAGCCTCAGTTTCCCCAGTAGTAGGAATTATGGGTGTGGACAACCAGCTCTTTCCTCTGGACCGGCTACTTCTTAATTACCATAATAATGGAAAAGCGTATTATATCCTAGATGTAAAGCAAACTAGAAGGTTACTTAAACACTCTCTGAGGCCTCAAACAATTTGCATCTGACTTAGCATTCCAGCTTTACCAAAGCACAGACCTAACAAATGACGTTTTGGGTTTTTTTTTCCCGAGATGCCAATTTACATTCTGAGATTCCGGGGGTCACAATGCTAAGTAACTAGACGGGTACTTAAGAACACCCAGCTTTCCCCTTTCCCCTCCCCATCTTCTAGAAAACGCGAAACCCGGGCCTGAAGAGTAAACTGCCCACCTCCCAGGGCTCGGGGCGGGGCTCCTCTCAGCTGGGGGCCCCGCTAAGCACCCCTGCTTGCAGTGCCAAGGTAGGACGACACGAGGGGCGGGTGGACGGCCCGATCACTTGGGCAGGGGGCTGCCCCGGCGCTGGCCTGCCAGCTCCGGAGAGCTGGGGCAGAGCCAGCGGGCTCCCTGGGCGAGAAGCCCCGGCCGCCCGAGCATCCCCGGCCGGAACCCGCTAAGGGCCGGGGCGGGGCCGGCTGCCCCAACTCCCCGAGAGACCAAAGCTCGGCCCGGGGGCCGCTCTCCGACACAACACGTCCCGGCCCCACGCCGGGGGCAGGCGGGATATCCTGGGCACTCCCAGACCCCGCCTCGGACACACCCCGGCCGCAGCGGGGAAGCCGCCCCGGACGCCCGGGCCTGAGGGCCTCGGCGGGGCCGGCGGCCACTCTTACCCCGTGCTTCGCCTGCAGTTCGGCCAGCCTCTGCTTTCGCAGGGCCTCCAGGTCTTCGTCTGCCATGGCGGGGCTAGCGGGCTGGAAGACGAGCTCACTAGATAGCACCAAGGACCGAAGCCCCTCGACTCCACGCGAGCTTTCCTACTACGCACGCGCCCGCCCCAGGCCTCTTCACTCTATCCCCGAGCCGCCGGTAAGGCGCTGGCAAGGGGAGGCAGGTGGAAGGCCGAATCATCGATTATAGGCGGCAGCGGGTGGGCGTGGCTATGGAGAGGCAGGAGGGAGCTCCAGGGAGGGTGTGAGGTCACAGGGCGGGAGATTTGATCCTTTGGGAGGTCTGACAGTCGAAACAGACCCCCAATACCAGGTTATTGTTAATCATAGTAACAATAATAATACTTAGGCACATAACAACTGTAATAAAATCACATTTTTATGATAAAATAGGCATTTATACAGCACTTTAAGATTTGCAAGATGCTTTAAGTGTACTACTTCATTTTGTCATCTCAACAGCCCTCTGAGGCACTATTCACGTTTTACAGATGAGGGAACTGAGACCGAGAGAGGTTAAGTGATTTACATAAGGGTCAAGAATACAGGGTCTAAGGTGGGGGACACAGTCTCAGGTCTTCTGGACTCCAGGTCGAGCACTCAAACCACCATGACACCCTGCTGCTCTATAGACTGCTTAAAGTTAGGCAAAGTGCTTTATATACCTTATCTCATTTGCTCCAAGAATTTCCTCCCCATTCTCCTCTCCCCCTCACCTCCCCTTCCCCCATACCCCTGCTTCCATCTCCTGCCCCCCCAGGGAGTTGTCCAGAATAAGCAAGGCACTCTTGAGCTAACTCCTATGCCTACATAATGCTCCTGCCTGCTGGAAGGTGGGTGGCCTTGGGTGTCTCTAGACACACCATCTCCATGTGCCAGGAGTCAGTCTATTCCAGGGATGGGGAACCTTCGACCTTGAGGCCACATGTTTGGCCCTTTGACTAAATCCGAACTTCACAGAACAAATCCCCTTGATAAAAGGATTTGTTCAGTAAAACTTGGACTCAGTCAAAAGTCAGAATCCAAATCTGGTACCTTTCTCAAAGAGCTGCTCTCTAGTCACTGACTTGGGCTCACTGCTAAGTAGTTAGAATACTTTCCCATCCCCTAATACTCAACCACTCAACTCATTCCAGTGATCCTGAACATTTTACTCCCCCCCCCAGAATATCCCATGTCTACACTCTTGTCCACATCAACCTTACCCAACCTCTCAGCGTTCCACTACAGATCTAGCCATTCCTTACCCTGTACCCTGCTGAATACTATGTATTTAACAAACTTCTTTTTATCTTAAACTTCTTTCTTTCTCATTCTTTCCATCTTCTGGCCATCACTGAGACACGGCTCTCTCTCAGTAACACCACTTCCCTTGATGCCCTTTCCAATGCTGGCTATATTTTCTATCATATCCCAGACTCAGGGAGTCTCCTAGGCTGTGGGAGGGAAGGGAAAGGGTTGAGGAATATTCCTCAACTTTAATTTCCTCTTCCAGACTCTTTCTTGTCTGTCTTCACTAAGTAACTTCTCCTCCCTTAAGGTTCATGCTATACACATTTATCACCCATTTCAGATCCTGGTGGCTGTTATCTATAGATCCCCAGGACATTCTTCTTCCTTCCCTCAATGAGTTTATTGCCTGGTTCACAGTTTTTCTTTCCTCTTCTCCTGCCCTCATACTGTGAAACTTCAACATTCTCCCTCAAATAAACTAATATCTCCTTTCCTCAGTCTATTCCATTGATTGACTTATTCTATTTCAGCTCTACCGTATGGTCATACCTTTGACCTCACCATTACCCATAAGTGTCCTACTTGCATGTTTATGAAATTCCTTCATTGGATCATAACTTTTTATCATTCTGTCTTTCCCTCTGCCTTAAGAATCCTAACCCCATTCTTTGTTTTCATGGTGACCTCCATTGCCTCAATCTCCAAGTTCTTTCCCAGGTGATCAGCTCTGCCCCTGACTCTTTTCCCTGTCTTGACCTTTGATGAGCTCATGCTAAACCATCTTCCACTCTCAATTCCCTTGCTGATCATCTTGCTAAATATCATTCCTGCATTACTCCCACCATCTACCTCTTTCTGTCATAGTCACATATTGTTGAATAGAACTGGAGGAAATCACAAAGTCAAGGTGATTATACATCTGACTATACATTTGTTATCTAATCTCCCTGGACCCTAACTATAACTAGCTAAACATTCTATTGCTTCCCAATCTATCTGCTATCCCATTCTCCAAATCAGATGTTGCAAACCTCCTCTTTCCTCAAACTTCCCATAGCACTTGATCCTCCATCTTCTCAGCTGAAGACCTTGACTCATACTTACAAAAAAAAATAGGATCAGTTACTGAGACCTCTACCTTTTCCCCTTTTCTGCATTTCACCTATTACTATTACTATTACTATTACTATTACTATTACTATTACTATTACTCTATTACTTCCCTAACTGGACGGTTCCTACCTCTCCAGCCTTCTTATACCTTTTTCCCCTCATATAACCTAACTCGACTGTCCTCTTTGCAGTTCCTTGAACTCAACACTCCATCTGCCATGTCTGTGCCTTTCCTGCCTGTCCCTCCATGCCTGGGATGCTTTGCCCTTTAGCCCCCAGTCTTAAGTTTCCTTGGCTTCGTTCAGGACTCCTCCTTTTGCAGAAGTCCTGCCCTTTTCAGAGTGCCCTGTTTGTCTCTTGTATGTACAAGTTATTTGCATATTTCCCTCATTAGAATGTATACTCTTTGAGGGCAAGGACTGTTTTCCCCCCTTTCTTTGTGTCCTCAATGCTGATCACAGTGTCTGACACAATAATTACTTGTAGGGGCTACTCTCCACATCACATTTCATTAAAAAATAAACACACAAAAGATTGCTTCAAAGTGATCTGTGATCTTATTTATGTGGGACACGCAGGCATACTGTAACCCATTTGTGCCTTCTCATCCTGGGATACATCCTTTTTTTTTTTTTGGAGGAGGCAATTGGGGTTAAGTGACTTGCCCAGGATCACACAACTAGTAACTGTTAAGTGTCTGAGGCTGGATTTGAATTCAGGTCCTCCTGACTCCAGGGCCGGTGCTCTATCCACTGCGCCACTTAGCTGCCCCTGGGATACATCCTTTTTCAGAGAAAATACAATGCATTAGAGGCCTTTCTCTGGATGCTTATCAGTACCCAATTTATGTCTCTGTTATCCCTCATTCTTGGTAAATTGTAGTTGGTGAAGTAGATACAGCATTGGGCCTGGAATCAGGAAAACCTGAATTCAAATCCAGCCTCAGATACTTACTAGCTATGTGACTATGGGTAAGTTTTTAAACCTCTGTTTGCCTCAATTTCCTCATCTGTAAAAATGGAGATAATAACAGCACCTACTTCCCAAGGTTGTTGTGAGCATTAAATGAGATAATAATTGTAAAGCAGTTAGCACAGTGCCTGGCACATTGTCAGTGTTATATAAATGTTAGCTCTTTTACCTTTTCCTATCATAAATTTCCTTCATGACATCCCTCATGCCACTTCTTGCACCAGAGTCATCATTGGTAATAAAATGCAGTCTTTCTGAGTCATAACTAGGGCAAAGTGATTAGGATTTTGCCCCAGGGTGGTAAAATTGAGAGGGCATTGAAAGCACTTACACTCCTTCAGCAGAGAAGAAATAACTGAGAGCACCTGTGATTTCATTAGGGTTAAAAAAACTTCTGGTATAGAAACTCCCTTCATCTGTTGCAAATTATTAGCTCATCTGCAATTTATAATCTTAGTTGTTGGGGATATTGAAAGCTGCCTAGGGCCACAAAGCTAGTATGTTTCAGAGGCAGGACTTGAACCCAGGTCTTCCTGATTCCAAGTCCATCTCTCTATCCGTGATGCCTCTCTAGCAGCTGGCTAGGAAGAATATTAAAGTTAAAATTAGAAGTCACTTTTCTAATGCTGATGCAATCCTATTTTTTGCCAGATTTATTTCAAGTTTTCCGAATAGCTCTTATCAAAAAAGGATTCAATTCTCAAGTAGTTTATTAAACATAGGGCTATTGATTTTTATTGTTTCTGATTCTTGCTTATCTAATATGTCCCAGTCGTCTACTTTAAAATTTAAATCAGTACCAAATATTTTTGATGATTACCTTTTCATAATATTGATTGGGGTCTGATATGTTCTTCTTTCATCCCTATTTGTCTTTTGATGACATGTGCTTAATAAAAACATACAGTTTCAAAAAAAAAGTCACTTTTCTCTGTTCCCAGAGATAGACTATACATCTGGAGTCTTTGCTCATACCTGCTTGGTGAGTGTGTGTGTGGGGGTATAGAAGGGGGTATCTGTTTACCTTTTCCACCCCCAACAATTGAATTTGTTTTAAAAAGTTGATTTGAGGGAGATTTTTGCTGTTGCCCAGGGCATTAAAAAAGGCTACTTACAACCACCACCTACCTGCTTAACATGCATCTCTCCATTGTCTTTTGGGTCCCCTGCAAATTTGGCACTTTGGAGACTAGGGTATTCCAAGATTATAGAAAGGGCTAGGCATTGGGCCTGTGACTTCACTGGTATGGGGAACTCCTGGATGATATCTATCTATCTATCTATCTATCTATCTATCTATCTATCTATCTATCTATCTATCTATCTATCTATTTATCTATCTATCTATAGTACATATATAAGATATTGTTATACATATTTTGCCAATGAGATTATATTTCTAGAGCCTATTGATAAAATTTAGAAATGAACTTTTAAAAAAATTTCAGCTTTTTTTTTCAGCCATGAATGTCTCACACCTTTGGTTTCATTACATTCTGGTTATGGCACTATTCCTGTTTAGACCAATAAGCTTGCTTGCCCTCATCCAAGAAATCTTAATAGGTTTCTTTCCATTAAAAATGATCATGAAGAACAGCTCAATGCATGAGATTTTGACAGGTTTTTTTTTTAAAGCATTCTTTAGCTGTATTCCAGTCTCTGACTCCCTTATTAATAAAAGCTGGATCACTATGACCTTTGTTTGCTGGATCATTAGGAGAAGGGAAATAATAGGAAAAGCAAAAATCTGTTCCTTTGATGAATGATATTCTAACTACCTATACATTTCTTACTAATCAGAATGAA